TTACCTTCAAAAGCCGCAGAGCGAGACTGTGGAGGTGAAACCTGGCAGGATCAGGCACCTTTTGCTTTTTAGTTGCCTCCTTAGTGGCACTCGGGCACAGGAAGGCAGCGATGCTGAGGAGCACCTCCAACCTCCAACCCTGCTACCCGCCCTTTGCCTCTCCTGAGCTTCCCCCATGAAGCGTGCTGCTGGTGCCGTTGCTGGCATTGGTCTCTAACAATGCGGGTGTTTCTTTCCAGAAAAGGCAGGGGGACAGCCTGTCCCCCCCACTTCCCAACGGCAGGAAGGTGTCTGCCTCCACCTGACTTCAGAAGATGGTCAGTTCTGACTACCTACCCCATGAAAAGAAAGATAACCAGAGCTGGCTGGAAGCAAGCTTTTATGCACCGCTGCACTGAAGGCAGTAGCCCCGAGCACTGGTTTTTCAGGGAGATAACTTTGCATTGATAACGATGGAAGGAGAAGGATTCACCTCGGGGGAGCTGAGCCCTGCACATCACCTCTCAGCACACGCAAGCTCAGTTGCCTCCAGCAGAGCGTTCCCGCAAAGCCCATGAATGACTTGCTTGCCATCTGAGGCTTTTCTTAAGAGCCTAAGAGCTTGCAGATGTCCTGAATGGGTTTTGACAATTGCTGCTTTCCCCTTCCGTCTCAAAAAGCACACTAGCCACACCACAAACAAGCAACATTGCAACGTGAGGCAGAAAATGATCTTACCAGAGGCGTGATTTTGCTGCTGCCCTGAAAGAGATTGATAAAAATCACGTTAGCGGGTTCTCCACTAGCACAAAAAGTCAGACGTGGGGCACAAAGAAAATGGAACAACCTCAGAGTTTAGTGTCTGAATGTCGTTGAGGATTTCCTGGATGAGGGATCTGGCAGCACAGCCCGTTCCTGCGGCGGGCGGCACGGGGGACGCGATGCACAGCGCTCCGCAGGACAGCAAAACCCCGACCAGGTGCAGCATCGTGGCGAAGGCGCTGCGCTCCCCTCCTTGGACTGGGTACGGCTGGCTCCCGGCTTCCTTTTATACGTGCTCTGTTGCAAGGAAATGATTAATACCTCACCACAAATATGCCTAAACTGAAGGCGAGTAGTCACCTGTAGAATGGAAGCTGTTAGTTTCTTATCTGATTGAGGAAACTACATGTTTCTAAAATAAGGGTTCCCCCATAAGTTCAGGAGGAGCTATGTAATTCAGATGTTTGAGCCTATTCTGATTTTGGATGCTGAAGCATTTTTATGAACTGATATTGTCTAAAGATGGGCGCAAGATAAACCAAGGCTGCCTAAATGTCTCTCAAATCTTTACATTCACATTTACCCTGATTAATATTACAATTACACTAAATAATACTCTCATCTTTATTAATTAATGCTCCTGCCTTGGTCTCTGTGGTTGTCATAAGGAACTCGGTGAATAACCCAGTCGTACCATGTGCACATATAAATGACAAATTCCAGAGCCCTCCCGAGACCTTCTGGTGCCCGCGTGAGCCCGGCGGCGTGCCGGGGAGAGGGACCAGCCAAGGGCTGCTGGGGCAGCTCAGCATCTCGGCGGGGGCAGAAAAGCTGCTCCTTCACTCCTGTTTAAGGAGCGTTTGCCCAGTTTCTGTGCTTGCCTGAGGAGGTGGAAACCATTTGGCTGGTATCTCCATATATTTCATCTGCAGGAAGTTTGGGTGATGGGGGTGCGTCTCATTGATGATGGTTCTGGTAGAATTGCTCCTCAAGGGTGGGCTCTGGGGTGGCCATGGTGGCTCCTGGGTGCGCAGAACCCTCTCCTGTCCCCCGGCCCCGCAGAGCCTGCTGCGGAGGAGAGCGGGGCTGTCCTTGGCCTCTGCCCCTGCTGCACAGCTCCTCTGCGCTCGCACCAAGAGGAATGAAAACTCTGCCAGGATTACATCTGCAGGACATTGCTGCTTTGCTCCCCCAAAATTCAGAATTTTTTGTTTACATTTTTTTGGTGTAATTTAAATTTTGCTATTTCAATACTGCAGGAGTTTTACTATCTAATTAACATTCTTGAATGTGCGTTAGGTTTTCTTACCCTTAAAAAAATCAAGTGGTACATAGCTGTAGTGACTGTTTCATGTGAGGTGCTCCTTCTCTCCTAAGGCGAAGGCAGGTGAGCCACGCACATGTGTGTCATCCAAGATGATGAAAGCCCAGATGCTGCTTTTCCTTTGTTCACATGGCATTTTCCTACTTGTCCCTGAGCTGATGTTTCACAGAACACATAAAAGTCCAGTGTTTTCCCTGCATGATATTAATTACATCAGAAGCCACTGTCGTGTTAGGTACAAACCAGGTCTTGGACATGCTGCCGGGCACCCCCCTCCCCTGAGCCATCTTGTTCAGTTCTTTGCTTTCAATCATTTTGCTAATTGTTTGGTGAGTAAAGCATCTTCCCTGCCACTCCCCACAGCTCAGCGTTTAGGAGCCTTTGCAGTGTGAGCTGGATGAACCGCCCTGGAAGCAGAAGCCGGGTGCCAACCAGACCTTGCCTGCTGGTGCAGGAACAGGGGTAGTTCTCCCGCCTTGCTGAAGTGAGCCTGATATTCCCAATGTTTCCCTGCAATCAGCAGATCAGTTTTACTTCAGAGTTCAGGTCAAACCACTGTGTGTTACCCTGGTGGGGCAGACGAATGCCATCTTCGCCTTGTGCCATCAAGGGATTTGCATCAATTCAGCCGGTGAACAGTCATGAATACCAGTCACCGTGGTGCACAGCTGGTCTCTTTTAAGAAGACCCTGTTCTGATTTTAATGAGTTCAGGAATAGCGTGGACCCTTCCAGTGACACCGTGCGTTATGCATCCTGGGAAGCAGAATTGCACCTGAGACTCAGATGCTCGCCCCATCTCTGCTGCCTTCATAGCAACGGGTGCTTCAGGACTTGCACATCCCTGGCACCGCTGTGGCTGCTGGAGATAAAAGGGAATACAGTATATTTAAAGGGGAAGCAATGGATCGTATGTATCGCACGGATGAGTGTACCTTCTTGTACCATATATTATAGCCAGGTTCAAATGGCAGGGAAGAATTTGTTCCCTTGGAAGAGGCAGTAGGAATTAGGGCTGCAGCTAAACTTATCAGTGAGCATCAGGGATTTTGCTTTTCTCAAAACCGGCTAAAGAAATGAGAGTCCCCGCAGAGAGGGCGGAAGGGAAAGGTGTGGGCAGGACGGACTTTTACTGCTGGAAAAAACAGAACTGTGAAGCTGGGACTCTACCTTGTTCTCTTTATTCTTTTTATAGCTGCTAATGACATGCAAATACATTCTTAGATTGCAGCCAGGGTGGAAAAAAAGAGCTGATAAAATCAGAAAGGAAGATGGAACTTGCGGTATACTCGTGTACGTACACTGATCAGTTGGTCTCTCACACACTGACTCATTTGTAAATATTCACTCAGAAATGAAACCGCCGTGACCACTCGGCTCCTCTCATGGTAGGATCAGCGTTGACCTTTCTTTCCTGTTCTGCACTCAGGGGATAGCTGCTGCGGGATGCTGAGATGGCCGGAGGGAGTTTCCAGCGAGGGCTCACGCAGTAGCACCTCCGTCCAACTCCACCTCCGCCAAAAAATCCGAGGAGGATTTGTGCTAATGAGGTGTAAATCGCTGATATGATTTCACTCTTAGGCAGAGCCATCTGAAATACCCATATCCTAGTCAGACACAGAATTCAATTAATGAGCAGAAAATGGCCTAGCCCATTAGGAATTAACTGAAAGCTTAAAGAAAATTAACTGAGAAACTGAAAAGATAACAGAAAATTAATTGAAAACTAACAGAAATTTTAACTTTTCTAAGCCTGGAGAGATGATGGGCTTCATTTTTATGAGCTGTGCTCTGTGTAACTAGAGTAGAAATCCTGGGGAGAAGTCTCAGTATAGCGACGGTGCAGGCACAGTTCCTTCTGAGCAAAATTCACTCCCTGTGAAGGATTTGCTGCAGAACTTCTGGATCAGTATACGATCATCACCACATATCAACCACTTGAATGGAAGTTCAGCCAGCTGGAGCATCTCTTGTGAGGCTTCCTGTCATATTAGGGGGAAAGGAAATTTTTTTGGAAGTAGTTTTACTGATTAAAATTATCTTCTTTCTCTCATTCCTCTATGAAAAGATCGATCATCGTGCCCCTTCACTCCTCTGAATATCCTCTTGTGTCTACGCATTCTTGTGCAACCTTGAAATGTTTTTATTTCTCCCTAAATATTTGCCCCCGCCACATTTCCAGCTGGCAGTAGCACTTGTACACCTCCCAGCAGACCAAGCCATCAGGCTCCTCAGACATGATGGGCTCCCTCTTCCCCTCCTTGGCCCTTCCCTGTATCTCTTCCAGTTTGAATTAATCTTGAAGGTGGGAAGCTGAAATGCTTTACAACGTTCTTTGCACAGCAGCATCGATACCTTCTTGTCTCGGTACTGGAAGGAGTTAAACAGTATTGTATCTCTGTGGTCTACCTCTGCAGAAGGAGGGAAACCATGCTTCTCTATGGGGTGCAGGGGAATTTTAAATGCTGTTCAAAAACAGTAGAAACTGAAATCATCGTCGCTGGTGGCTGTGCTCGGTCGGGGCATCTGCAGCAGATGTGCAGCTCCGCTCCCCAGCCCAAGGACATTCCTTTCGCGTTTCGTGCTCTGGCTGTGGTCGCTGGTCCGAGGCCAGCTGTCTGGACAGTGGGCTGTCATCTTTGGAAAGTGGCCCTTGGAGCATGGGTCCAAGTCAGGCTAATTGAAAAGCAGAGGCTGTGTGTTTTGAAATAGGCTCTGGACACAGAAAGACTTTTTATTTAATCAAAAGGTATTCCCCATGGTTTGTATGACTTCCTCTGTAGCTACTCAAAAAAAAAAAAAGCCTGTGAGTCACAGAGGCATGCCCTTCCTTTGCAGGACCGGAGAAGAACTGTACAGACTAATGAAATCAGAAATGAGTCCAAAGCCAACTCATTCTGCACACCTCCACCTCCTGATCCCCTGCCCTCCTTTGCAATCCCTTTGTCTTTTGAGGCTCTGCCAGGGTCTCTCTGTGGGGGGGAGTTAGCAGGGTCGGATGCTTTAGGACTCATGGACCTTTTTGTAGGTACCCAACTTTGGGAAAGCGAGGAGAATCTCCCTGCTCGCTCAGAGAGCTGTTGTCCTGGAGATCCACAACAAATTCCGTACCTTTCAGGCAAAATTAGAGATGAGATAAGTTCTGGATTTTGGTGTTAATTTCTAAGAAATGAGATGCCTCTTTTGTCACAAGGGATTTCACAGGCAGCCTCCGTGCCTCTCCAGCCCCAGTGACGGCAGGTTGGTGCGCATGGGCCAACATACATTATTGCATGCACGCATCCACCCTCCAGCCCTGACAGCAGAGAAAATAAGAGAGTCTTCTCTATTTTTTGAAAGAAATTGTGTCTACAACTTCTTATATCTTCCCATCCATGGAGAGTAATTGCAAGACATCTCTGGGCTTGAGTTTACGGTGTAAATCCCGTTCAAGCTCCCAAGGACCCTGAGTGCACCCCGGGAGCAGCCATGGCCCCGCATCTCTCGCATCTTTAAGCCGGTGCTTATCACACATGTGCAGTGGCTTTGGCAGCTGTTGGTAAGCATCCAAAGAAGGCTGGCAGTATTTACGGTGATTCATTGCCTTCTCAGTCACCCGTCTGAAACCGAGCGAGTCTGAGAGAAACACAGATGATCAATCCAAACAAGCTGTAATGGGAGTTTTCAAGCCCCACCCACTGACCAGCTGAAATTTGGCTCCAGGGAGGGGGTGGCCAGAAAGGGACACTGAATTTTTCAGTTGCAAAGACACTGCGTATGAATGAGGAAAAAAAAAAAATGTGATCGAAAGCCTGTAAAGGTGGGATCGTGTTCTGCAGAAAACAGAAACAAACTGTGAATCCTAGCAAGTGACTAATGAGAACTGAAGATGAAAAAGGAAGTAAAATAACAACAGAAAATGAG